CCCATGTTTATTGTGGCTTTGTTCACAATAGCAAGGAGTTGGAAACAACCTAAGTGCCCATCAACAAATGAATGGATAGAGAACCTGTGGTATATTCACACAATGGAATATTAGGTTGCATTGAAAAACAAGGAACTCATGCAATATTATTCAAGATGAGTGATTCTGGAGGACATTATGCTGAGTGAAATATCTCAGTACAAAAGGACAAATACTGCATAGTGCCACTGTTGTAAAACAGGACTGACCTTCGGGTTGAGGAGAGACTGACAAAGATGGGTCCAATAACGTATACTGCATTGAAACAGATGAGGGAAAAAACTGTTTAAAAGAGATATGTGATTACGTATTTTTGTCATGACAGGAGTCTAGAGTGAAGGCTACATGGTGCAGTGGACCTGGGGGAGGGTTTTTAAAACAATGAAATAATTTTTCTTTTACATTTACAAGAGGGTAGACTAATACAGGGGAGGGTTGGGAGACGAGAAAAGTGCAAAAATGAACAAATGGAAATCCAATCTCTGTAAATTTTTACTGAAATTAATAATAAATTTAAAAAGAAAAAGAAGGTTTTCTTTCTCTGTTAGCTCTGGAGAAATATCCTTTTCTTCTTACAGTGGGCCAATGTCCCTTGGAGATCTCTACATGTCTTAGCATAAATTGTCCTGTGGGAGAGGAGGTTCTAAACACCAGTGCCCAAACACAAAGAATACACCATTCCTGTCATCCTTAAGTGCAGTCACTTTGTCAGTCTATCTCGTTAAAGATCTTCTTCTCCTTCACTGACCGTTCACCTTTCCAAGCATGAGGTTTCTTCTTAAGGAATAGCCCTTCCCACTTAAAAGTGTGCTCTTGAAGAAGAGTAGTGAATATATCATTGACTGACAAAAAAGTATGTCTTCGAGAAGGTGTAGCCAGATTGCCCCTTGCAGGCAAAGATGATAAAACTTAGTCTCACATATTTGGGGCATGTTGCTAGAGTGTATCAACACTAATATGGGAACTTGCTGATTTTGTCATCCTACTATCAGGACAGTCCATGGTACATTGGTACATTCAGTACTCTTCTCCAGCACCATAGCTCAAAAGCATCCACTCTCCTTCTGTCCTCCCTAGTCATTGTCCAACTCTCTGATGCATAACATGCGATTGCAAAGACCATGGCCTGTATCAGGCGCACCTTAGTCTCCAGAGAGACACCGTTACAGAAGGAGAGTGGATGCTTTTGAGCTATGATGCTGGAGAAGAGTAATGAATGTACCATGGACTGCCAGGAAAACAAACAGATTCATCTTGGAGAGGATTAAACCAAGCTACTCCTTGGAGGCAAGGATTCTGGGGCTTCTTCTGACATACTTTGGACATGTTGCCAGGGGGGATGGGTTCTTGGAGAGGGACATCATGCTTGGGAGGGTTGAGGGACAGCGCAGGAGGGGA